TCATCTGAATATAATGATATCTAATGTTTGATTTCTTGCAGAATCGCCGATTATGGGTCTAAGAATCAGATTATAAATACGATTACCTGATCCAGTGCCAAACGGCGAAACTTTCAGCCGCGACATTCAAGCAAAATCAAGCAAACCAACCGTTCAGAAACTTACAACTATAACAAATGTACTTTTAGTTTTAATATGTGGCCTTTCGACACCGATTAGCATAATTTGTATTTTGCAATTAAATAGACTAGCTCTAACTATTTCGTTTATCATAGATACATTTAGAAGCAATTTGAATAGAATGTAAATGAGTTAGCGACATAATCCCCATTAGGGAGGGTAATGAATTAGACGTTTTAGTTCGAATTTTTGCCTTATAATTCAACAACAATTATATGTATGTCTTCATCAATTAATATTTATTTGTATATAAGTAGGAAGTTAATGTATGTATGTATTTGCCTATGCGTATTTAGTGCACTTAGCCACCTAGCCTAGCGCAATCCTAACACTTGCAACGGAACTCTAATTAAACTCAACTGATTAACATAATACCCTATGGATTTATGTGTACGCATACAATGCCACTGGATTAATTAGGCATAGATTACACATATGTATGTACTATACTATATATATATGTATATATTTATATACATCATATGTATAGAATAGACGAAATCTTTAAATACTGGACAATTCAAACATAACCGAACTGCAATGTTCAATGTTCGTGAAAAGGCTGTGATTCTACACTCATGAGAAATATATCTATACATAAGAGACACCAATTTACAATTTTTAGTTTCATTATGTCAAGTATTACAAACAAGCAAAACGAAAAAAAAAAAAGGAAAATAAGAATTTTGTTCATAGATTGATGCGTAAGCAAATGAATTTTTCTATATTTTTTAATTACATAAACGTTTAAGTTAATATAATCATTACATAGCTGTTCTAAACTATTTACCTTAATTATATGTATAACGTTTTGATAGAGAACACAATAACAACAATTAAAACTACAATAACATTGTGTGTGTTAAAAAATAAACCATAGCGGAATATATACATTGTTGAAAAGCAAAACAAAAACAAAAACAAATAGAAAACATTTAAAGCAAAATAAATGTATATTTACTTAAAACCGATTCTACATTCCGAATTTTTATTACAACGCGACTGACGGATTTGACTTTTATGTATATTTCCGGATGGAGGAGGAATACATGCCTTAAAATATCGATTTTCATGTATATTTGCATTTGTTTGTTCCCTTTCCCCGTAGTTCATTGTGTTAATTTTTGGTGTGTTTAAAACAAGTTTTTTGCTAGCTTTAGTAGAAACGGAATCAAATTTAGCATTAATAAGTAACAAGTAGTAAATTATAAATGATTTTATCGCATGTTGTCCGACACGAATTTCCGCTCTTATACTTGCCATTTTCATGAATAGATTATCTAGTTTTTCTAGCAATGAAACATTAAGTTACATGACTTTTTGGAATAGGATCAAATACATTTGTTGCAAAGTTTTCATTCAAAATTATTTTTCGTTTTATTAAAAATATAAATTTGCTAATATAATCTTGCTCTGCCGATATTAATTAGACAAAATCTTTCTTTCATAAAAACACTGTTGTCATTTTAAATAACTCGTGCCCCAAGAATAGACCAAACGAATTAAAAAAAAAATGTATAGTAAATTTATTAAATACATAACATACGTATATTTAAAAATAACTTATTTATCTATAGCTAATATCCCAGAGGATTTTGAACTAGAGAATTCGCCAGTGACATCAATGTAAGGCATACATTATGCAAATTACGCATCGGACTGCGAGTCCTTGTGCTCAACGCCAAGATAAGAGTTGCCGAGAAAATCAAACTCCGCACTCTTTGCGATCACACGGCCGATGTCGTGAGGTAGCAAGGTCATTTCCAGATTAGCCGCCGGCGGTGGCAGCGTCTCGATTGCATGCGACTGTTGCTGCTGCAGCAGTTTGGTTGCAGCGGAGCGACGGACCAACTTTCCTATGAACATTCGAAGCACGTGGGCCAAGAGCGTGAGAGCTAAAGACTGGGAAACACCTGGCACGCTTTGCTCTGGATGCAAGATGATGCCAATATCTTTACACATGTCCCGCACCAGCTGCGTGGCAGCATCCAGTTCCTCGGGCGGCGGCAAATATAGCAAATCTTGGTTTAGTCTGGTGTCGAATGCGTTTGCAGGTCGTCGGATCTCTGAGCTGGATGGAAACAGGTTGACCACTTCGATTGGCTCCTCGTCGTCTAATCTTTGATCACGACATTGCAATCCTTCAATCCGGTTTGCTATCCAGCTATCCAAGCTGGATTTCGAGGAGAGGCTGCAAAATTGCAACAACTGTGCCTGAGGATCTTCCTGCAGCTGTTGTTGCACTCGCTCCGACAATGGCAACGCCGCCGACTCCGGCTTTTGTCTAGTAACGCAGAGCATCTTTAGAGGCGGCGTGTATCCGTGCAGACGTGCAAATGCCACAATCTCTCGCGTACTCCAAAAGGATTCCTTTCCGCTTGTGTGCAGATGCTGCAGGCTTAGATGCTGACGCATGCAACGCAGCAACGTGCGCCCGCGCATAAATTCGAAGAACCGCTGACGCAAAGCGGGCTGTGCCTGGAATGTCGCTAGTGTCTGAGTACCAAAGGGAAACTCATTGCAATAGCCATTTAAGTTCGCTTTGCCCAATGCGTTTGCCAATGGTAGCCGTCGTAGCAAGAACTCCACAGCACTTCGCATGTTTTGGAAGGGAATGCTGCGAAAGAGTTGTTCGAGCGTCAGGCGCTGGCTCAATACTGCCGGCGCAGGAGACACCTCATTGCTGCTCATGTTGGCGTAGCCATGATCGTTTTGGATGCACTGCAGGAGGTGCCATCGCTTGGACAACTGTTGTTTCGGCTGCTTGAGCAAACTGAGTTGAGGCTTGAGCAGCGACTGCTGCTTGGCAGCCTGCTTTAGCTTCGATTGCAGCGGATCGATGATATAGAGTTTGCCTTCCTTTTGGAAGACTACGTTTTTGGGATTGCCTTTGCGCAGTTGTGCAACCATTGCTGTTGGCTTTCTGCTGTTTCCATTTATGGTGGAAAGAGCCGCGGGCAGACTGGTACTAAAAGCAGGCGCAGTTTCAATGGAATTGCGGGGGAGTGGGCTTTTATTCGGAGTTGCGGATGCGGGCATTTGTTTCTTCTTCGGGCTGCTCAACTTTAAGACCTCCGAGACAAGCACCGTCGGCTCGATATGCTCAATGTCGTCGCTCAGCTCGATCTTGTTGATGCCGGCAAAAAGATTATCATCCAGCTCCTCCTTGTTCTGCGTTATTGAAATGGTGCGCGGTTTGGAATTGTTATCGGGTGACGGGAGTGCATTTGTCGATGTCGCGGCTGTTGTGGCTGGCTCCTTCTTAATAGGTTTCGGTGGTGGCGTAATGGGAACTTTTGTAGGCACATCGGCACGCAGCCAAACCTCCACAGTTGTCTCGCTGCCCATCGTGTGCAAGCCGCACCTGGTCTTGTCCAGCACAATGTTGTGGATGAGCTGAACGGGCTTCTGCTGTAGATGCTCTTGGAAATAAAGCTGAATGCGCATGGGGAACTCGCCCCAGCCCCGGCGTGTCAGTCGAAAGGGTGGCGCATGAACGTCCACAATGTCGTTGGGCCGGTACGAGTGATGCAGTTGGAAACGCACCTAAGACAATAACTGTTAGTGAATTGCCAACAAGTGAGTTGACGTTTACGACTCACCTTTTTTATGTAGGACTCAAGCGGTTGAGGTAGATTTTTGCCGTGGACATAGACAAGCCATTTGTATACAAGAGATTGGCCATTTCGAGTGTCCAGATCACCACCGCCCAGATACTTGGAGGTGTTGCCCACCACAAAGTGAAACTTGTTTTTGTTGTTTAAGCGTGAGGCATTCAGCGTTGATACGGAGGGACTGCCTAGTTCCGTTTGGTTTTGATATGCCTGCTTGCTAGAGCAGGGATGTTCCTCGTGACTGGCCGCGTCTCCTTCCCTCTTTTGCTCCTGGGTGTGATCCGTAACAATGCCCTGATCACGTATCTTCCGTTGTCGCCTGCGTTCCGCCCGTCGATTTGCAGGATTTCGCAGGCGAATCGTCTCCTTGGCCAGCGTTGCGGCTGTGCGCTCCGGCAGATTTAGCTGCAGAGGAACTGGCCGCTTGCCAACTATTTTCTTGATAGCCGGATGCAGTGGCAATTGGGCTCCATTTCGTTCAGGTCCTTCGCCGAACAATGTGTCGCTAGATCGCACTTTAGCCACATCCGCAGCTGTCAATGGCACCTGCTGTTTCTTGTAGTACTCGCTGACCACATGGTATCGCAGCTTGTCCAGTAGCTGGCGTGCTTGATATAGTCGTGCATCAATCTCGTTCAGCTGCTGCTCCTTTGTGCTCAATTCCCTCTGGAATTCCGCGCGGACGATTTCCTCAAAGCGCTTGAGTTTCGCCACGCTGTCAACGGTGAAGGTAATTTGGGGTGTGTTGCTTGGTTCATTCCCCTGATTCTTGTTGTCATTATTCTGCGGGTATTCTTGCTCGAGCTTAATGCGCTTCTCTTCGCCCGCAGTGGCGGTTGGAGGGCTCTCATATCCGAACCTATAATCGGGATCATGATACTCGCTGTGCCTTCGCTTCTTTGGCGTTGTCGTCGATTTCGTCGGCGACGCCGTCAAATTCTCCATGTGCGTGTGGACGCTATTGTTGGGATTGCACACCCTGAGGCTTTATATCACCTGGGCTCAAAATAAAACAGCTGGAATATATTTGTAAACTGTGTTTTGCACATTTATGCTGTTATTGGCACCAAATGACCAAACTTAATAAATAAACGCGCAAAATGTTTGTGTTGGATATCATCATCATTGTTGATGCTATTGCGATACATCGATATTTCGATATACCCATCCGATATGCAGCACTCCCGCCTCACGTGCTGCATTATACAGCACTGATTGGGATCATCTGTGTTTAACGCGGGAAAGAACAACAAGACGCATTCGTACGGAATATAAATATTATTGCTATCCATTCATCCATTGAATTAATTAGTGTACAATATGGTCGAACGCATTGAAGACTTGAATCTGCCTAATGCTGTGATTGCGCGATTGATCAAGGAAGCCCTGCCCGATGGCTCCAATGTCAGCAAAGAGGCGCGTGCCGCAATCGCAAAAGCCGCTTCCGTATTTGCAATATTTATAACATCGTCCTCAACGGCACTGGCGCACAAGCAGAACCACAGGACCATTACAGCGAAGGATATTTTGCAAACGCTAAACGAACTGGACTTTGAGAGCTTCGTCCCATCGCTCACCCAAGATCTGGAGGTCTACCGAAAGATGGTTAAGGACAAAAAGGAGAGTAAAGCCAACAACAAGAAAGATGCTTCAACTGGAGATGCCACAGCAAGTAGCAGCTCAGCGGTAGTAGTTGCAGATAGTGAAGAAGCCGCCTAATAATGGAATGGAGCAGTCAGCGTGTTTAATAAAAAACTTGTTTTATACCGGGTCTATTTACAAATAAGAATACTTAGTATTAATAATAGCAACGCATTTTTCTCTTTAGGTATAGTGAGTCTAGCTAATAAATATATAAACCATAAGATGAATATTTAAGTTATAATGTGTTTGGTACTGATTGTAAAAGCCATAGACCTTATATCATTGTAAAAACTAAATTTATAATAAATTACTTTGAAGAAAAATGGTGTAATTCGCGTTCAAAGATTATTTTTACAAATTAATTTAACTAATTCCGATATCGCGATTAGATTACGCATGAACGTAGTCACTGGAACGCATTTTACAACACTTCTGGCACTAGGGCCAAATGGGACGTGGAAAGGTGTGATTTCTGATAATAACATGATTTTGAAATAAATGTAGTACAGTAAATTCATTCATAGTTGAATGCTGTCACTAACCACTCTGGTTAGTGATGCTGTGAACTACTTTCTCTTCGCAGTTTAAAAGTGACTTTTGTATGGTTCACTCCACGTGCACGTGTGTGTGATGGATATACATAAGTTCGACACGAGTCCATCTCTAGCAATCGGCATTTATCAAAACTTCTCGAGTTCAAATTGCTGGTTGCTTCATGTAGTACGCCACAAAACTGGTGTATTCAATACAAAATGGGTGTAACTGGCCTATGGAAGTTGATAGAGCCCTGTGGAAAGCCCGTGCCCGTGGAGACATTGGAGGGAAAAGTCCTGGCAATTGGTAGGAATCATTAAGAAATATTGTGAAATTCAATGAGATTGTCCTACACTTTATTGATGAAATTACCATGTTTTATATGTTGGTAGATATATCCATATGGTTGCATCAGGTTGTGAAAGGCTTCCAGGATAGCAAAGGATCTGCATTGAATAATGCGCATCTCCTGGGTCTCTTTCATCGACTATGCAAATTGCTTTATTATCGCGTGCGGCCAGTTTTCATATTTGATGGCGGCGTGCCGCAATTGAAGCGCGATACAATTGTCAGTGGTTTAACGGCTAGTTGTGTTGCTACAGGTAGTAAAAGTGTTTTATTTGCAGGCGCGTCGCCATCAGCAACGCAACAAGCTGAGCAATGAGGCCGATCGGATTCAAGCTCTACTGCTCCAATCGCTGGCCAAGGAGAAGGTCGTGCAGCAGGCATTGGGTAAAAATGCGGAGCTGCTGTTGAAATCTCCCGGCAAGCGATTAGCCGCAGAAAAATCCAACAAAAACGATGAAGATGATCTCTTTAAACTGCCAGAGCTTCCAGCTGCAACCGCTGCACAGCTCAACGATTCTAACGAAGATTTTGATAGTGAGAATTATGATGGGGCGACCACCACATCGGATAGTTCCTTCGACGAGTCAAATGCCCGGCGTACATATGATGCCAGCTTGCAGGCCATTGATGTGCGTAGCCAGCATTTTAAGAACCTGCCAGCTGACGTCCGCCACGAAATACTTACGGACATCAAGGAGACGCGCAAGCAATCGTCGTGGGGTCGCCTCCATGAGCTGCCAGCACGAAGCGATGAGTTCTGCTCATTTCAAATGAAGCGACTCTTAAAGCGCCGCGCTGTACAGGAGAGTCTTGAGGAAGCGCAGCAAGAGATGGGTGGCCACACTCTCACCTATGCCGAGTTGTCCGAGTTCTTCAGCGAGGAGGGTATAGTGACGCCTACAGCCATCGCCGAAAGTACACGTCAAATAAGTTCCGATGAGCACACTAGGTTCTTATTGGTTCGTGATCTTAAGAAAAAGGCTATGGCAGCAGAGAAGAGCGCCGAAACGAGCAGCAAATGTGAGACCATCAAAGAAGAAATCGATGAAAAACCAAGCACCTCAACAAAAGCATTCACCTCAACAGAAGCATCCACCGACGTAGACAAAAAGAAGGCGGCCGCCAAGTGTGACGTTGATTTTGAATTGGCATTGTCCCTATTTCTGGACGAATCCAAGAAGGTCTATGACGACAAGGACTACGAGTACGATGCTGATCAGAACTTGCGTTTGAATCGCGAGCAAAGCAAAAACTTACGCCATGCTGCCAAGGGACCAGCTCGCTCATATATGATTGAATATGCTGGCATGAACGAGGAGGAAGTTGGCAACATTATGGAATCAACTCAACTTAATGATACTCAAAGCATAGAACGTTTGTTGCATGACCCAAATGGAAACGATTATATAGGAAATACGGATATGGCGAACAATTCGATTGAGGAAGCGAAACAGCTCGCATTGGCCATTGAGCTAAGTCAACAAGAGCAAGGTAACAGCCCAGATAAGGCTGACGCAGTTCAAACCATCGATAGCGACACTGATTCAGACCTGGAAGAAGTTGATGAAGCAACGGCAGTGCCTGCAGGAAATGGTCTTGAAATCCGAATTGACGTAAAAGATGCATTGAATGAAGACGATGATCTTTTTGCGGACATTTTCGATGAAGAGTACAAGTTAAATACCAGCATTAAGTCGGAAACTGATGCAGAAGATGCAGAAATCAAGTGTAAAGATGTATCCAGTAATGAAGACATCCGGCCGAAGGATGTAATAAAAGTAAATGAGAGTATCATGATAGAAACTAAGAATACGAATCAGTTGAAAGAAAGTGAAAGTAAAGAAGACAAAACACAAGAAGATACAAAGAAAATTGATGAAGATAAACTCGTTCTTTTGGAGGTAGAAGATAACTCTAAGAAGGAGTTGCTCAGCTCTATACTTTCTGATCTTAAAAAACAATCAGAGGAAGTTAAAAATATAACATTAGATCTCACAGAGGAAAAGGAAGAGCCCAAACCTCCATTGAGCTCCATACTTGGTGAGCTTAAGCGGCAAACGGATGAAGTTAAAAACATTAAATTGGAATCTGTAAAGATAAGCAATAGCATGGTTATCGAACTATCTTCTGATGATGAGAGTGCAAAAGTGGCAACCTCTCAAGCATCTAAAGATGTTATTGATCTTTGTGATAATGAAAGTGAAGTGCATCGCACATCTCCAAATAAGACACCCAGCAAGACCAAGCCTATAACAGATTTCTTTGAAACCACATACAAGATTAAACGTACGCCCGATAAACCAGATGCCACAAATGTTACACCGCCTGCATCTCCGATGGTAGCTAAGCCGTTCTTTGTTAAGCGCACACCAAAGTCGGGACGTAAACGTGCAGGTGGGGAGCCCAGCGATGATGATGTTTCACCCAACAAAAAGTCCAGCAAAGCAGCCAAGTCCCTGTTTGGAAATGAAGCCAATGAACAACAGGAGAAGACCCAGATAGTTAACCCAGAGGTAAGGAAATATGAACCGACTTCATATATAATCTGCTATATTGAAATTGCTTCATAATTGTACGCAGGAAATTCTCAAGGATGCAGCAGAGGCCTTGAAATCTCAAAAGACAGCAGAGGAACTGCAGGAAATGGCCAACAATTTGGCAGGTGAACGCCGCGAGCTAGAGGCCGAACGCAATCGTCAGGATCGCATGGGCTTGTCAATCAGTCAGCGCATGAGCAGCGATTGCCAAGACCTGCTGCGTCTATTTGGGATCCCATACATTGTGGCGCCAATGGAAGCAGAGGCGCAGTGTGCCTTCCTCAACGCCGTTGGCATCACGAATGGTACCATAACGGACGATAGTGATATCTGGTTGTTTGGCGGTCGTACGGTTTATAAAAATTTCTTTGCTCAAAATAAGCACGTCCTTGAGTTTCGTGCTGAGCAGATAGAGAAAACCTTTAACTGCAATCGAGGGAAACTCATACAGCTTGCCTGTCTCGTGGGTAGTGATTATACGACAGGTAAGTTGCAATAAGGCGTAGCCAACACGAATTCAATGAATTTGATTCCGCAGGCATACATGGTATTGGTGCTGTAACAGCGCTTGAAATCCTAGCATCCTTTTCCACTTCAACTCCGAATACTGAATTATCGCCGAACTCTCCCTCATCTGGTGTGTCCATGCAGTCTGTGTTGTCGACATTGGAAAAGTTTCGAGAATGGTGGCAGGCGCATAAGAGCTCCAATTTACCAATTGGCAGCTCCGCACGCCTTTCGCTGCTTAAAAAACTGAAGAACATTGAGTTGCATGAGGGCTTTCCCAGTTCATCCGTGGTGGAGGCCTATTTGACACCTAAGGTGGACGACAATCGCGACGCTTTCAGCTGGGGCTCCCCTGATGTGGAATCTATACGTGAATTTTCTCGTAAATCATTTGGCTGGACTACATCGAAAACGGACGATATTCTCATGCCGGTCATGAAAAAAATCAATGAAAAGAAGATACAAGGCTCCATACGCAACTATTTTACGGCGAAAAGTGCGCTGCGCGTGCAGCAACCGAAGGTCAGCAAACGTGTTCAGACGGCAATCGATAAAATGTCTGGCAAGATCGAAGCGGAGACTCCGGAGAAACCGAGTAAACCAACACGTCGTACACGTGCCAAGAAAACGAAAGCAGCTGAACCGGATAAAGCGAATGTGAATGATGCAACAGATGATAACCAGCCCACTCGACCAAAGCGCGTCAGACGAAAGCCAACCACAGCGACAACGGAAGAAGCGGCTGAATCATCTTCTACACTCAATGAAACCATTAGGCCGGTAAAATCGTTAAATTCACACCATACCAAGGAGATAATACCGCAAAGAGAACGTGATATGGAGCAAATGCGTCAGAATAAGGCAAAGGCGGCAGCAATATTGAAGGCAAGCGCTAAGGCTTCCAAATAAGAATGGTCGCATCCCCACTATGTAAATATGCATGCCATAAATATATATACATATATATATCTATAGAATTACTAGGCTCAAATATCTGCAAATAGTTTTATAATAATTTATGTAAAGTTAAGATGAAAGCAGCAGTTACAGAAGCACTAACCTAGTTAAGATCAAAGATCATAGAAAACTCTGTTATATGTTGTACTTAATCAAATTTATTGTAATTTCTTTCAAATTGAAAAAGATTATTTCGCGTTGCAGCTTATACATGGAATATAGTATAGTATTATTATTTTTTTTGGCTGCTTTCATCATGAATTTCCATTGAAAATCTTCTGAAATATTTCATATAAATAAATTAAATGAATACCATTAAGGCATGCTAACAAAAAACAAAAAACATTTATATTTACTGTTCCACATATGATGATATGATGATGACTTTCATGCAGAAAATAATCGCATGTTTTTTTACCTTTATAATTTTTTTATTTACT